TTTATTATGCGAACGACGCATTTCCATTTACCAATTACGCGCCGAGCGCGTTACATGTGTCGGCGATATCTATTTAGTAAATCGCATAATCAAATAACCATAATAGCTTATCTGTGCATTGAGCGGCGCAGACTCACTTGACCCCGATATATAACGCGGGTAAACAGCATAATTAAACATATATCACTCCGCGCGATTCTTTTCTTGTGGCGCAGCCGATTGCGACATGCCGTTTGCAAATGAGATCGCTACTGAAATAGCGACGCAGAAGCCGCATGTATGATGCAGCTGTTGCAGTAATACATGCAGTAATACGATGAGCGAATGGATCACCCTAATGTTGCGTACAACGCGAGAGGGCCGAACGCACCGATTCAACCATAACGCCGAAATTAGCTAAATCCAGCTCCTCGATACGTTAATAATCCGTATCAATTAACGAATCAATCAGTGAGTCGGGCCCGAATCCCATTCGGCCGACAAACTCCGAATAAGCGCTCCAAGTTGGAGTTGGAGCGGCGACGAGCGCCCGTGCGAGCGAATGCCGCTATCGAGAAGCCTCCATCGCGCGTGAAAATGATCAGCTATGTAGGGGAGCACGCGCTTTTGGGACAAGCTTTACTTTCTACTTCGTACACACTGGATGCACAAGCGCGCGCGCGCGAGAGAGAGAGAGAGAGAGAGAGAGAGTCCAGTTTATCCGACATAATAATCGAGTGCGAGTGCGACGCAATCGGCATCCGGCTCGGACGAGCGCGCAGCATCGCCGGATGCGCCGGACGAGCAAGCAGGTGATACCGGTCGACCTGGCGACTTACCTATCTGCCAACCGAGCGATCCACTGGCTATAACGAGTGTGCGCGCACGTGCAATCGTTACCGCATTACACGTCACCGACGAGCCGTCTCGTTTACAGCCGGCAGCGACGAGCGCCCGCTGCGCCATCACGTTATATTACATAGGAGGAAGTTTTCCCATGGATCTCCCCGTGTGCCGGGCGCGGTTTCATGAATAAAATTTCTCCAGTTTCACATCCTCGTGTTATGTAAAAATTGGAGCAAAAGCGCGGCGCGGCGCGCCGGGGCGCGATCCGCCGCCGCCGCCGCCGCCGTCGCCGCAGCGGCGGCAACGATGGCGGCGTCCGTCGCGGCGAGGTCGAGTCGCTTGAAAATGCAATGTTACATGGAGAGAGAGGGAGAGAGAGAGAGAGAGGAGTTCATGGTGGGACGAATGCGCGTGTGGAAACGGTGGGTGCGAATCGTCACCTTGGGCGGAGGGGTAGGTAGATATTCTTCGCGAAAATTGAGCTGGCGAGGATATATCGAGAGATGGAATATGTAAGCCTGCACGCAGGGAATGCGCCGCCCGAGAGGGATATTGTAACTTCCGATTTAAATAAATAAATATGTAATATGCATGCGAGAGAGAGAGAGAGAGAGAGAGAGAGAGAGAGAGAGAGAGAGAGAGAGAGAGAGAGAGAGAGAGAGAGAGAGAGAGAGAGAGAGAGAAGGGAAGAAAGAGAAAAGGATACGTGATAATTATCAGTTATAACGGAGGATTAAATTTATCTTGGCAGGAATCGTCAAGTGTGCGCAACGTGGGAGGCGAATGAAAAGATTTCCCTCGCACTTAATAAGGTAGACGAATGGAGCGGACCAAGTTCTCCAGAGTGAGAGGACAGATCGATAAAACGGTGGGAGGAGGGGGACAAAAGTCGAAATGACAAAGATCAAAGAAAGGATCGAATGCCGTGTGCCGTGGACGTGTCCTTAAGGTCACGTGGAGAAAGGAACGCGTTACGTTACGCGCCATGTACGCGCGCGCGCGCGCATTGCTACCAATGTGTGCTACCCGGCGTTTTCTGAAATAGATAATTCAGATATATCGGAGCGCGCGCTGGCTGTGGCACGACTTCCAATGCTTCGGGGCGGTATCCGCAACCGATCATTACGTGATAGCAGACACATTTCCAGGAATATACGATCGCTGACAATCAACAGTCGGCGAATAATCTCCGATTCGGCCGCTTGTCTCAAATGCTCGCGCGACACGTAAGTCGAACTATTCGAGTACATAAACTTGGATGATGAAATAATTCGGATACGGAGGTAATCCCGGCTTTAGTTGCGCATACCCGTTCGAATAGAATAAATCAGCGCCTCCATTTCGATTCGATTCACGGGTATATCGGATCTGTGCGCGTCGCGCCGAGAAAGTTAGTCTCCATCAGAAACGTATTCCTGGATATCGACCACGCCGCCGGAGCGAGCCAATCGATACTCCATTGATCCGCGAAAATCGCTCAATAATTCAGAACGGGCGCGGGACTAGATTCCGCGGCGCGATCGCGACGGCAGCGGCGGAAAAATCGAGATCGAGGCGCGATTGCCAGTCGTGCCGGAGAAATATCGCGCTCGAACGCGAACGGGTTAATAATCGCTTCGTGGCATTCAGCGAAGTCGAATCGATAAGATCGATCGATCGATCGATCGTGTATAATTATACGGTAATTACCGGGCGATTCTTTCGAACGCTTGCGACCGTCGCCGGGCCAATTGTCACCGCGCGACGAAGGCTGACGGTCGCTCGCCGCTGTTAATTAAGTAATTGCGCGAGTAATCGGTCAGCACGACAATTAATACTCGTCGCACGAATGATCGTTCTCTCGCGGCTGCATCGCGACTCGCCGCCGACCGTTCGAGGGTGAACGAGACCGAAAACAGCCAACAGCAACTGGCCGCATTGGGTTTATATATTCAAAACCGGTCAGGGCTGCCAAGCGAGGAAAGATACGTGCGGGCGACTTTCGCGATAGACCGACATTTTTCGCGGGCGCCAAATAATATAATGGCTTTCACTTCGTGGGCCGGAAAAGTCGCGGCACGTGATAAAACGGGCATCGCGCGGCAAACGAGAACTAATTAATTGGATGTAATTAGGTTGCGACGTGTATTTCGACACGTTGCGCTCGATAACTTTAAAGCTGAGATGCCCGCGGCCGCATGTCGCGCTCGACTCTTATATGCGGAGAGTTACGGAAACTTACGTAATCATCTCTGATCAGAAGATCATCGCGTCTCAATCCTGTTTGAACAATCTGCGACGTCTCGAGTACTGCGTATCCGCATGATCGCGTCATGCAGACTTGCGTGTACTTTTATTCCTAACATTCCCGCTTATTCGACATGTCTCTCTGCTCTCTTAAAGAAATATCAAACGTATCTAATCGTATGTATGTGCATATGTATACGCGCAAATTGTTGTAATTAACGCAATAACAATAACTCTCGTACGTCAGCCGAGACGATCAGCGAAACGAAAATCGGAGCTAGCAGCTAATTTGCAAAACGATGCTTTTAGACTGCTTGCCCCGCCGACGTTAACGGCCCCGCCAGTGACGTAGCGCAATCCCGAAATGATCGAACCGATGTTGGATCATCAGGTATCACTCCAGACAAACGGCGATCATAATTCAAATCGCTCACGACAGAGCAGGCCGGCCCTTTGGGCTCTGTTTCCATCTTGCTTCCAGCTGCCAGCATAATGCGCTATAGCAGTTAGAATTAGTAGGTTGAGGTAATAAGTAACAAGCGGCGGCGGCGGCGGCGGCGGCGGCGGCGGTAGGCAATCTATTTAGAAAAGAATTCAGGTCTCTTAAGGCCATTCAACGACCCGTAATTCCAACTCTTTAGAACGTTTCGCGTTTGCGCCAAACGTGAAACTCCTTTTCGATGCGAGTACCTCGTTTCCACGTAACGAGCGGGCCATAATCAGGACCGTGCCTCACCATTCTCGGACGCCTCTCCCTCTTTTTTTTCATCTTCTTTCGCTGTCTTTCACTTTTTTCCTGTTTCTCTCTCTCTCTCTTTCTTTTTTTCTTTTTTTTCTTTTTAGGCGCATTACACGAACTTTTCGCGCGACAACCGAATTCGCTGTCCGAATGTAAACCTCGAGAGTTATCCGCGATTTTTACTCGCGCACCGCACATGCGGAGATCGTAGTTTTTCATGAATAATAATAACTCTCGGCTTTTGAACATCACGGCTCTCTACCTTTTACCGCGGAAAAGCATTCTGCATTCAAACGGATGTAAAAAAATTGAGAATTCAAAGCCGGCGCATCTTAAAGCGACCCATTGCCGAAACGAGCGCATCACGCTGCTCGCCGGTGATCGGCCAAAGATCCGCTAAGATGAACCCCGAGAGGTCAGGGCGTCATTTTCAATCGTGACTCTCCGTCGAATTGCCCTCCCCGGCATTTCTCGGTATCCAAAGTTCCGACAGAATCGTAATAGATTCGAGCTATAAGTTCACACTTCTTCGTGTTTCGCCAACAATGTTTCGTTATTATCGGTGAGATGTAAGTACGAAACAAATGGAGAACACCGAGACGCAACGGCACGGGTCGTCGTGAATCAGCGTAAAACTTGAGCGCTGTCGGGCGGCCGCCTCTATCACCTAAAAGCCCACTGCGAGTCCATTCCGCGAGCGCAAGCGAGAACAACGATGCATCACCGGCAAAGGGTTGGCCAATTAACAGAGTGATCATCCGACGCTACCGTTGCGCTGTTGTTCGCTGTTGCGCTGCACCTGCGCCGTCTACCGTGACCGGGAAGGAGTCCGCGATCGCGGCTAACGCTGCAGCGTCAGCCAGCTGAGCCATGCACGGTGCTCGTGCATGCTATGCACCACGCCTGCATGAGAGAGTAATATCGTAGGTGACCAGGTAACCCGGGTGGTGCTCGGTTGCACTTGGTGTGGCCCGTCGCGTACAAGTCGAGCGTGTAGGCCACACGCTGGTGGGGCGGGAGGAGTAGGAGGCTGCTCTCTCGGCCATTAGACGTGGACATAGCCGACGAATACTCGCGCGAACAACCTACAACGGCAACCTCTATCGGCCATAAAGGGGGGACCCCCCTTCGCCCTCAAACGGGTGGTGGGACTACCGCGTCGACCGCTCGGTACGCCGTGGATTATAGTTTTTCTGGGGGGAGGGTGGTGGAGCGCCTTGCTTTCGAAAGGATGGTGATTGTGGAGCGTGTCCAGAGTAGAGTTAGGCGTATATAAGGCCCGCCGGCCCGGCCCAAGTCAGTCATTCACCGGACTACCAGCCCACAATACACACACCAAACATGAAGGCCTTTGTGAGTATTCCACACGGGGTTGGTGAGGTGTTCGCGAGGTGTCGAACCACTAGTCTCTCTCTCTCTCTCTCTCTCTCTCGGTATCTCTCGCGCTCCTCGGCTTTGTCGTCGCGCCGGACTTTATTAGATTTGCTCGCTCGCACAGATCTCTCCGTCGCGACTGATACGCGATTTCTCTGCTGCTTTGACACGCGATTTCTCGTATCGAGGTTCCAAGGCGGAACCTCATCACGAGATTTCAGGATCTCTCCTGAAAATCAGTCTCGCTGTAGCCTCTTGATCGCGGACACTTGCCTTGCCGCTTGATTCCGCCGTAATCGTCGCCGCGAATCAAGAACAATGTCGCTCGCCGTCGAAACTTTTAACTGTCTCTGAAGTACTTGGAGTACTCTTTAACGATATTGCTCGCGAGTCTCCTCCTCTGTCTTTCTCGCCGCCGCCACCGCGAAACTTTGCCTCCGCGAACGTCCGTCTCTCAAACATTTCGTTCTTCGACGCTTCTTCGTTGAAACTAAACAAGAGATCTAAACAGCTCCCTGTTTTACAAGATTATATTTCGATTACACACGGGAGTGCCTGCAAAGCGGCGAGCAAACGCGACCGTTTCACAAGCTCGAAAGCTTTCAGTCGACGACGATAACTCGCTCTCGCAACCGTTTCCATTGTACCGTCGCGCCTTTCTTCGCTTCTCTCGTTGCATCCGCGATGCGACCGATGATAATTCAATGTCACGGCTGGGATACTCTCACTGTTTTTCCCGACTCGGCCAGTGCGACCGAGCAGACAGACAGACAGACAGACAGACAGACAGACAGACGTACAAACAGACCAACTGGCAGCCGTCCTCCTTTACGACTTTCATTCATAAAGCGAGAAATCTCAGCGCACATCGCGCGCTGGAGACCGCTCCGTGGAGAACCGGTTGTGGTAGTATCATCGTCGCGTCATTGAGTAAGCGAAGTAATTCGCGACCGGTTTCTACTCTCCCGGCGCATCTTCATTCACGGATCCGCCGAGCGCACCTCGTCGTCGCACCTCGCGCTAGCGTTGCATTCCCCGACTTTCGCTGTCGTTTGTCGTCCACGCGGCCGTAGCGCCGTTATTCCGGCTCGCGCTCGTCCTGAAAGCATAACGGTCCTTAGCATAACTCGACTCAGCTCGGACTCTCCGACGCCGCGGGAGAATATCGGCAATAACGACATTTCCATTGTTACAACCTCCGAGCCTCGCAATGTCTTCGCTAATGTCGCGCGGCCGACGGAAATAGCGAGCGCGCAAGAGCCGCACGGGCGATTTTGAAATCGGCACCATCGATCCTTTTCCGATCGCGAGGTCGCGGGAACGCGCGGTCGAACACGTCACACGAGCACGGCCGCGAGATAGTCGGTTCGTTCATTCGTTCGTTCCGCGTAAACGGGATGTGAAAGTTTCGCCAAGTCGTTAGATATGCATAATTCCAGGCCGCGGTGCCATTTAGGCTCACAGCGTCTCAAACCGGGCGTGACATATGCACCGAGAGAAAGAGAGAGAGAGAGAGAGAGAGAGAGAGGGAGAGGGAGACCGTCTAATAGCATTCGCACGCAAACGAAAAATAACCGGTTACGTCGACATCGGCGCAGCACGACGTCGATGCACCTAATCAGCCGATTGCTCGGGTCTACGGCCGCATGAAACACTTCCTTTCTAAACGCCACTTCCCATATTACGAGCTGCAGGCCGCAAACGTATATCTCGCGAGACGTGACGTAACGCGCGTCGATATCGCCGATACCTTCGCGATCCGGCTCTGATTCTGTATTCCCTCTACACTTCTCTTTCTTTTTCTCGGGATATCGCCTGAAATCGGCTTCGGTCGAACCGCGCGATTCTTTCTCGGCTAATGCATTCGCGGGAAATGAATGCACCGGGAAAAAAATCGATTTGGATCATTCGAACTAAATGCGCTCTCTCGGGGAAGATGCAAACACGCGTGGCTCGCTACGGTCTCGTCTTGCCGATTAATTACGAGTCCCGTGCAACACCGAGTCGAGTTGCACCGCGATCGGCAATATCCGCGCTCGTTCGCGCGGATTTCATGCAATCGCGAGCGAGCGAGCGAGCGACTACTTTTTCTACGGTTCGTCGATGCACGTTGCGACGTAGGAGCGCGCAGTGGCCTATTAGCGGGTACCCTGGAAGAGTTTCTTTTCCTAATACGGTTATTAGCAGTGGAGTGGCCAGGGTGTCCGACACGGAGAGGGGCGGCTCGCGTGGTGCTATCGCACCGATTGCGAAATTTAGCCGCAACTATCCGCAGCGTAAATCTCGTCCGGCCGATTTTTCCGTCGTGGAACCGCTCCGCCCTCGCGGCGAACCGGCGCTCGGTCATCCCGGGGGACCTAAAAAGCTCTCTCACACGCGGCATTTCCGCGGTTTTGGACTTCTTGATCGACTTCGCCGGCGTTCGCGGAAATCGAAAGTGAAAGCCGCGGTTATGTTGCTCGGACCTCGCGCGCTAGCCGGGCCGTAATCGGCGCCAAGCCAATGGAAATCCAGATCCGTAACGGCGATAGCTCGCCGGCGCTCGCTCGCACACAACACGCTTCCGTAAACCGACTAGCGTGGCCTCACGCAACTTTGATCGCTCCTCACTTCGGAATCTTCGTCGGTGGTCTCGGCTGTTCCGCCGCGCGCACCGACACCCCGCGTCAATCGGATCGGCACTTTCGCTCTTTCGCGTACTCGCAATCTGATCGTTCGCGACCGTTTCTTGCAGATTGTGTTCGCCTGCTTAGCGGTGGCGACGGCTCGTGCCGGTATCGCCGGTGGATATGGCGGCTATGGCGGTGGTTATGGCGGTGGATACGGCGGTGGCCACGGTCTGGCCATCACTGGACGTGGATACGGTCACGGTGCCGGCCTTAGCGGTGGACTCGCTGCTGGAGCTGGAACCGCTGCCTCCCTCCAGGGTGGTGCCTCCAGCTTGGGATCTGGTGGTCTTGGTGCCAGCTATGCTGCTGGTGCTGCGGCGGCGGCTGGCTCTGCTGGAGTTCAGCAGGTTGTCTCTGGTGGTGCGTAGCCGACTTCCACTCTCGTGGCACATTTCATCGACAACGCTGCAATGGCAGGGCCGCTCGATAATAAAGTTCGCTCGCTCTTCCCGCAGGAGTCGTTGGTGGCAGGTCTGACATCGGACCCGCTGAGGGACCCAAGGCCAACGTTGGACCCCAGACCGGCCCGTCTGACCTCGTTGGACCCCAGGAAGGTGCCAAGTCCGTTGGTGGACCTCGCACTGGACCGTCCAGCCTTGTAGGACCCGCTGCTGGCCCATCCACCCTTGTTGGACCGTCTCAGGGAACCGCCACTCTTGTTGGACCTTCCCAGGCTACTGCTAACCTCGTTGGACCTAGCTACGGAGGTGTTGCCTTCTTCGCTGGTGCCGGAAACGTCAACGGTGATGATGGAAGCTCTGGTGCCGCTGCCAACGCCGCGCCCGGTGGTACGTTTCCCATCAGATGAATGAACAATGAGGCATATAATACTGAAAACCGATATATCTTTAAACTCTCTTTTCTCACCTTCCCTACCGTACTCACTGGAAATGTCTGGAAACTTCTGCTAATGTGATATCTCCTTCATCAGGTGGATTCGGAGGTGGATTCGGAGGTGGATTTGGAGGTGGAGCTGGATTCGGTGGTGCTGGCATTGCCGTCATCGGCGGTGGTGGTGGAATCGGAGGTGGTGCCCTCGGTGGCGGTGATGCCGGAGTTGCTGTGATCAACGGACCATCTGGCGCCATCCACGCCGGACTCGGCGCTCACGGAGCTGTCATCCCCGCGGCCGTTGGCAAGTGGTAGACGTTTAAAGACCCCAGCGATCTCGGCTCGGCGACGGCGGCAAACCCACCACAGTCACTTACCGGTCTCGAACGATCCTCAAACGCGCTCAACGTCTTCTTCCCAAAGCTTCGTTCAGCCTCGGACATGGTCGGGGCGCCAGGCGCCAGTGATATGATCAGTAGACACTCGGAACAAACGTAAAATGGTCGATCGGTCGTACATACAGACACCATGAGCCCACGAAGCGCAAACCGAAACGCGACGGACGCGCGTCCGTGTCGGATCAGATAAGATCGTCGGGGACGACACCGAGGTACGGGCCATTCGTGATCCGCGACTTCGCGTCGTTTTCTCCTCGTTATCGACCCGGGTGTCCGTTACAGTCGGGTGACTCGGGTAAAATTTAGTCAATTTCCGTTCATCGACCGACGATAGAGGGAAATCGACTCGAGTCGCGATTACCGATCTCGGTTGGCGACCTTCCGGGGCCGTCTCGAACACCTTGTCGCTTCCCGACGCGCTTTCGCCCGCGATCGGCGAACGTCGCGTCTCCCGGACTACCACACTACACCCGCCGCGCGTCCTCCGAGTTGTGTAACGTCGTCACCGTGTGCTAACCAATCACCTGTGCACACCCGCGAAAGCGTCACACCCAGCACCGCCATGGTACCTAGCCAGTGGACAAGCTTTGGCACTTCGTCGTCGGACCAACTGGATCTGTTCTGTTTTCTGAACACCTACCGTTGCTCCGGCTAAACCTTCTTCTCTTACGTCTTCCACCATCCGTAAGGCCGCCGCTCTTCTCACGCACATATTATTATTTCTCTCTTTTTCCATGGGTCAGGGCGCGTCGGCAGTCGCGTCCCGTCCCACATGTTGTTATACTTACCGCCGCACCCAAGCATACATATTATTATTACATACTCGTCCCATGCGCATATGTCTTCTTTTTATATATATATATATGTATACATACTATTACTATTACCTTCGCGCATATATATATATATATGAACACATTGCCACACGCGCGCACACACACATACACTATATTGCTATATGTGTACTCGTATATATACACACAAATACACATATATTATATAATCGTGTTATATGTTAGTGAAAAGGAGAGACCGGTAGATTATGGTAGGTCAGCCTTTCGTGAGTGAATGAATGTACATAGACGGCGCGCCGCCGCCGGCCCCCGACCCCGCCCGCCCTCGTCATACCCTTTCTTTGCGATCACGACTAGCACCCCACCACCACCATAGATAGATACCACATATTTATATATATAGAGAGCCGTTTATACATTTATACAATACTTTATATAAAATAAAGCATCAGTATTTAAAAAAAATTCGCTTTTATCTATTAGTATACCTCGCTACTTTTCGCACTTCTCCTCGCGAATCTCAGCGCACTTTCCTCCGTTCTTGAACTGCGGAATACATATAGCATTCATTTGCCTGTAACAATCAAATTATTTCCCTTACGGTCATTGTTTAGAGAAGTATGTTAAAAGTGATGAAAGAAGAATAAACAAAACAGTTTAAACGCGCTATCGAGAATTACATAAGCTGCAAAAGAAAAAGAAGTATTCCGTGAGAATATATTTTATTGTCTTCATTTAGTTATTTGTTACTTCTCACAATTTTGAGAATTATACATCTATTCTCAAAATTATGAGAATTAACAAATAACAAAGATAGACAATTGATATTTACTATTAAAAATCCACAAATATTACTTAAGTCTCGCCATTACAATATCAATAAGACTTGATACAGATAACGTTGGAGACAAATGATTTGTCGTAAAGTATTCATGCATAACAACGAGACAAAATTTGCATAAATTCTGAAAAATTTATGAAAGTTAATATTCCCCAACGCGATCATCTGTCTAACGTGCGTGAGTTATTGGATTTCAGTTTGCGGGGGCGATCAATTGGATTAATTCGAGATATTGGACGTCGAACGAGGAAAGGGATAGTAACGGGAACCAATATCAAGCAACCGCATTAATCACTATCGGCAGAGAGAATAGTAGAAAAAGAGGGAAAAAGAAGCTACAAATATTACGTATAATAGTTAATCACTCTTCTTTAAGTCAGTTTTCCCTACGCTATATTTTAATACTATAAATTGTATAAAAACTATATGTTTGCAAAGACAAATAACATTTTTCTAGATAAGCATGAGAGAAATTACCAATCATATCCTTTTCACACGATAATATTATCACTTTGTGTAAAATATCCGTTTGTTAAACTATAAAATTGGATAGATACTGCGACATAATCTTCATTATTTCAATGGATCGTTGCCAATGAGTCGTGGACAAAGGGAACTAATATCGATTCCATATTTTATATTTAATATTTTCAGCTACCTAATACAATTCTCTCGCAAGACAGAGAAATTCAACAATTGTAAGTAGCTTTTAATTAATATGTGAGAAAAAATAATTTTCCGCCTTTCATAGAATATAATTAATGAAAAAATGTTGAATAATGTTGATCATAATTATCGCGTATTTCTTAAAGCGATTTAATCAAAAACTTTTATTGCAATTATATATGATGTAATTGTATTAATCAATTTATTAATTTTTCTTTTAGGTCATTGAAGAGGACTAAGAACATAGGACGCTATGAAAAATATCATGTCAGTTATTATGCGCAGAAAAAATATATAATCCATAGTTAATAATTTTTCATCTAAGTTTGACACTCTAAATTATATATTGAGCGAAAAGCATTGGTTATTTACATATATATATATATTTTGATTTATCTCTATAGAAATATAGAATAAAAGTTAGATAAAGCAAAAGCATTCGTCAACGATAGATATGTCGATTTCGAGATGTGTGAGAGATTTTCTTAGTTTTTCTAGATAAGCATGAGGGAAATTACCAATCATATCCTTTTCACACGATAATATTATCACTTTGTGTAAAATATCCGTTTGTTAAACTATAAAATTGGATAGATGCTGCGACATAATCTTCATTATTTCAATGGCTCGTTGCCAATGAGTCGTGGACAATTAGCTTCGATATAGACCGACGCTATAACAATGCTAATTACATGAAATTTAATCACAAAGGAAGCACCGTGCCGGTCTTCAATATCGAAAACGGATAAAAACTCGCTTAACACCATAGGAAACGACCCCTTTTGTAAGATGAATATGATAATTGAAATATGATAAGAGCGGCACATAGAGAAATAGATAATTGTTTTTGCGCACGTAAGTGGATTTCTGTTTTGATCACGGTTAATTGTGGACAATCGTATATTCTGTTATACTTTGCATATCAGAAAACGGAGTGACAGTGTTTTGTCGGATTTGTCGGAGATTCTCTCTTGAGCTCTTATTAAATGCTGTAAATCTTGTGCGAATACGCTGAGAGCGATGGACGGTGCTTTTATGTTTCTCAGTAATGGGTCACAAATAAAAAGCCATAAATATGTGTTAAGCCCCTCGGTTGAATGGAACCTCTTCGACAGCGGGAACATTGACTGGTGACGTGGCAGAAAACATGAAATGCGGATGCTCGTGTCTCTTTTTCATTCCAACCCATTCTCACTTTTTACTACTTTTCAGAAATGGTACCTTTCGTCGATTCTCCGACGGCTGACGTCCGAAAAAGTCATATTTTCTTAAAGTAGAAACACTTTAGTCCCTGAAGCAAGTACCTGGATATAAAATCTAAGAATAAAATGTGATGGATTTTGGGACGTCATATTAAGATCTTTACTTTCTTTTTATCTGAAGTGCTATTCACTGAAAGCCGTTTCTAACTTATCGCAGCGTGTCCACTGGAAATAGAATTAATTGTGAATGCAAATGAAATTTCTGTCGACACGACTTAAGACCATCCATCGATGCGTCAATTTAAGAAGATTTTTAGAGAATCGGCGTTTCGACATTGAAAATAACAAAGTCAGTTTATGGATATAAAGATTAAACGGAATAAAAAAATCTATGACGTCGTCATTTGGAAAATAGGAATAATGTTTGTCACCGTAAAGCGTTTTCTTGCCCAGCGAAGCACTCTTTTCAAGATTTATCATATTTGCCTTTTTAAGGCGATTTAAATGTAACTGTTCGATGTAAATTTTTTGATTTATTAATGAACGTTGTTTTTAGTGGCAAAAAATACTCGGATGCATCAGAATAGATATCTTAAAAAGTGTTTCAGATGCCTGTATATGAATATTGTTCTCAAATTGTGGCAAATTAAGCGTAATCGGCTACGGATGATGCTCCATGAAATTATACGTTGGCGTAGAAACATAAAGAAGTGAAGTACAAGCGATATTATGATAGTCTTGCCAAGAGCCGTAAGTTGTGTCATAGAAGACGTAACTTTCGTAACACCCGCCAGGGAATAATTAGTAGAGATAGAAGCCTATCAGAATACCGGATACAGAGAGGCTCGGTCCTTTCACTCTCGGGGGTGTGCGATTACTGCACAAGTTCTCAGAAGAATTTATTTACGGTATGAGGTTGTCCTATTTTTATGGTCAAGGTTATTTTGCGCTCAAAGGAGATTTCGTCAGACAGATTTCATAGTCCTTATAGATAAGTATCCTTATAGGTAAGTAAAGTATCAACAAAACGGTCCACGAAGATTGTGGAGATAAATAAGACTTCTCTTCTCCGAGAATAACAATTTCAGAAAAACACACGAAAATTTTGCGGAATGAAACATTGCCATTGTTTGGATACTATCTCCTCGTGAATACTTTGCGTACAATTATTACATCTTAGAAATTATATTCGCCATTTGTCAGTAATCTCTTTTTTTTCTTTTTAAGAAACTTTGCGGCAACATCTCACACTTCTCATGATCTCACACAGAGCGCCAAGTAAGCTGCATGCTCCCATAAACATCGCGATGCATTGCATCTGTGTTGCGCCGCAGACAATGACTGCAAATGTCAGTCTCACCATTAGCATTGATCACGCTCAATCGCGCCGGGGCAACCGTTCCTCCTTCAATCGCTTCACGTAGGTACGAATTTTCAGAACGTGATGCCGCGGATAAAGTCGTACGACGGCGCAACGCTTCACGAAACATTTACAAACACGTAGTACTTTAATGCAACTAAAGCAGAATAGATCACGCTTAAAGGTCGAATTTCCGATTTTCTTTCGCGGATGCATGTTCGTCTACCAAGGCGTTCAAAGTGGCTCTTTATTTATAGCCGATACGCCTATCTTTTCGTACAAACTTTGAGAATTTATACGTATGTGGTTTTTATTTAATATCGAATTTTCAATTGCTTTTCGAATAAAATTTAATTTATTTTTCCATAATGCGTAATATTTGATGACTTGCGTATACGTTATTACATTGTAAGAAAATAATAATGTTATATAAAAATAAAATTGTAAAGACAAGAAATATCCTTTGTATTCAAAATATATCTTTCCATGTGAAATGCATATGCAGAAATTCTCATGGCATCTCGGAATTATCGTTAGAAACGTGATATTCACGTGGAATTAGTGCATTTAAGATCGCAGCTTTCATCGTGCCCGTAAAGGTTGAATGCGCGATGCCGGTTTGCCTCATCGGTTATATATCATACTGAAAAGCACATTAATTCCTGAGAACACGACTCTTTCTCAGTCAGCGTGCTCTCGACGTCCGCGTCGATTCACCTTGCAACCCGCATAAATTGCAACCTAGAACTTCGTCATACGACAAACAGCTGCATTTGTGAGAAACGATATGCATCGTGTCAAACTTTGAATACTTATTTACTTGATAAAACTTGATTGAATATTATTGAAATAATTATTTCTTTACGGTGAAGGTTTACAATGTTACGCAACATACAAAGCATTATTAAACAGTTTAACTCCGATTGAAGGATTAAACTTAAGAGGAACTCGAACCACTAATAAATATTTAGTAAGTTCGTTGCATGTTTAGAGACTTTAAGAAGTTGTTATCCTACGGGATTCAATACGAAACTTGTCTTGTATATATACGCTACATTACATAGCGTAATAAGATACAATATATTATATCGGATAATTGATCGATTATATATGTATTTAACGCCTATAGATCGCCTGCGACCTACGATATCGTAATACGTCATATTCTCACATCGAGCGCCGTTAATGGATTAGCGCATGTAATTGAATCTACTTCGATGCTGCCTGTAATTCTGTACGCACATTGATGTATGTACATCATATAACGTTGCTGAATATTTAACATAATTACGTACGCGCGACACGCACGCGTAATCTCAGTTCTATATATCTCGTTGTATTTACACACAAATTTCGTTGACTCCGGCGCACCAAACTAGTCAGCGTCATTCGCAGAGAATCGCTTTTATACCATTTTTACCCCACGAGAGAGGTACCGATTAGTTTTTTCGAGATATTCCGTGATACGACCTGTGATCTTCGTGATTATAGGCTCGATTGCCCTTCTCCCGAATGACTCAATCGCCCGTGGTCACGCAATTCAGATTCAAAATCCAAGTAGCCGGGTTCTTCACAGAAGTTTATTACTCTCGATTCGATGAAAATTACTCACTTTCTGTGATTGAGAGCGATTTGTTGCAAGAGATGATGTAAGGCGTATCTTTGTTCTCAACCACGCGATTATGCAACGCACGAATGCTGCGGAACGAAGATAAATTAATGTATGTAATTATCATTCCGCAGTGACTCATTCTCTTAGTGTAATATAATTATATGTATTTAATGTAACACATAATTACAACAGAATCTATAATTAATACTGACATCTCTTGCCTGCAGCATAATTTATAAAAATAAATAAGAAGGTACGAGAAAATATTAATAAAACATAAGAGAAATATATTTCTAGTCACACTAAGGAATTAAGCAAAGTTGCGCGAAAGAAATTTGTTTCATATTAATTTACCCGCGATGTTACTTCCTCAATAATAAATAAAATAACGAAGAATCTCATAATTTTCACAGAACAATATACCTTAAGTTTATCAAGTAATCTACTGACATAAAATTGATACATGATACTTGATGTCTACCGAGAATTAGTTTGTGCTACCAGTTACTTCCTGCATAAAGATGGAAATCTGTAGGCTACGAACTTTGCGCGAGAGACAATCATTTTTTTGAGCCCCGGCACATAGGATGAACTCATTTTAACTTTTTCCCAGGGATTCGTCCGTGGAAGTTGTTCGACAAGCCGCGACGCGACCGAGGGTGGGTGTGTCAAACGCTGATCTTATACAATGCACGAGATTCCATTGCAGAGGAGCATGACTCGGAAAGGACAAACTGGGTCACACGTATATAGTAATGATTGCATATACAAGACCATAAAAAGTGCGATTGCAGAGAAAAAGCGATATCTTGTTGAAACTAAATGTCTGCGATTCTGGCGTTAGTTCTCTTAGAATCTTGACTTATGAGAGTGAAGAGGGGGAGTTGTTCACTGCAGAAGCTTCCACAAGGAAAGAAAAAGCAGAAATTTTTCGCATTCTTTCTTTCAAAATAACAGAAATATTTAAATTTAGTTACCCTAGGGGTAACTAAATGTATCCTTTCGAGAACATATTTCATGAAGATAAACTCAACATTTCTTCAACTCTCTCTTATATCAGTTTGTTACTGTATAGTGAAATGAGGAAAAAGCAAACAAATTCCCAGATACAATTTTGAAATACTTATTGAAAAATGAAAGATGCTAGCGATTAAGCATCTAACATTAATCTGGTCGTACGTCTCAAACAAAAAGAGGTTGTTTCTGAAATTTCCAAGCTAAGAGTTCCTGACGAAGGTCGCGCAAGGGGTCCAAAGTCCAAGGGGTGGGTGTGTCAGATGGTGACCTTCTTACACAATGAACGAGAGACTACATCGTCAACGGATATGATTTGAAGGGATCAGCGGGGGCGCGGTCGGAGATCCTAGAGACGTATATAAAGTCCGTCGAAGTCGACCGTAGGCACATTCGAGCAATCGCCGTTCGGCACGATGAAGACCCTCGTAAGTATTCGTTTCAACGGTCGGAAGTGCGCGCTCCTACCTTTCTTTCTTTTGTTGCGGGAACAATTGACGTGACAGTCGGGTCGCTGTTCTATTAGCGAGCTGATAGCAGCGAGGTACAGTGACAAAAGCATCGCAAGGTAGACCGTACTGTGCGGTATCATTTGACAGATCATGCATGTAGTGTGACAGCCGAGAAATGAAATGGCGCGAGTTCCATAACGAAATTCCGTTACTTAACACCGCACAACATCTTCGCGACTCTAAAGCCCGAGTATCCGTCCTCACCCCGAAAAAAAAGAAACAGAACCTTCACCTTTCTAAATATCAGATAAAGTTATAAGTTTCATCGACGAGAAAAAATGTCTCACCTGAAATTGTGGTATTTCCGCTTCAGTTCATCTCGTTTGCCTTGTGCGCCATTGCCGCCGCCGCCGCCGCCGCACCTCGCGAACGACGAGAAGCTGTCTGGGCTGGTCACGGACTTTATGGTGGGCATGGAGCTTATGGAGCACACGGAGCTTACGGTGCGCACGGAGCTTATGGAGCTTACGGAGGCATAGGAGGCTACGGTGGACACGGAGTGGCCGTTGCCGGTCCAGTGCTGGGGGCGACAAGCGTCGCGGGCCCGCATGTAGGTGCTTCTGCTGTTACCGGCCCGTCGATAGGCCCATCTCGTTTGGCCGGATCAGTGGCTGGTCCTGTTCACGTTTCGGGTGCTGTCGCTGGCCCAGCTGTCGTGACTCCGTCAGTCGCCGGTCCAGCGCATGTTGAAGGTTACGGCGGCGCGTACGACGGTGGCTACGGGGGTGCCTACGGAGGTGGTGATTATATCGGTGAGTGATGCGCCAAATATTTGGAGAATTATGAAATGTGTGCGATAAAGAAGTGGTGTAACAGTTTCTCTTTCAAAGACGATGGTCGACTTGAAGAAGTCAACAAATTAAACTCTGCATCTCTCTCTCTCTCTCTCTCTCTCTCTCTCTTCCTCCTTTTATTGTGTGATAAATAATTTCTAATCAATTTTAGGAATTTTACGTTGCACAATAGCACATTAATAATAACAAAATAGCTTCTGAAATCGACTTGAAGTTACTCCAAAACTTCGCGCACACGCGCACACACACACACACAGGAACGTGTTGCTTAAATTATAAAGTAAAATTACCACGCGGTACCGTCCATTTGACTTTCTTCCGTTGGACGTAGGGGGCTACGGAGGTTATGCCGGTGGTCCCACTTATGGCTACACAGGATACGCCGGTGGTCACGGAGGGCACGGAGTAGTTGTAGCCGGACCAGCTAGCCACGGAGCGGTTTTGGCCGGACCTCACGCCGGAAGCGCGGCTGTTTCTGGACCGCACGCCGGTTCAGTCGTGATTGCCGGTCCTTCCGGAAAGATCACGGCTCACGGAAGTGGTTACGGTGCTGCCGTCCACGCCGGATTCGGCCACGGTCACGGCCACTGGTAACGCGCGCACAATCGTCTGCGAGAAGCGAAAAGAGAGGATCGTCTCTTTGAATCAGCGCCAGGCTGAAAGTAAGGATACTCCGCCTCCCTTTCAATTCTTTCTTTTTTTTTTTAGAGGAATAATGCGCAAGAGATAATGTAGAGAGATAATGTAATCGTAAATACGTGAAGTTACCGTATACCCCTCACCCTCTCCCCCTCTCTCACACGACGGCGCTCGTCGCACTTGATACTCTCTCGTTTCGCGGTGCGCGCGGGAATACTTATGCATGTTCTCTGTATGAATGGAATAAATTTGCTCTTGTTCGAAAGGAGCTTATTCGTGATGTAAAATGTCCGGAAGTAACATATTACATTTCGCTTGGCGTATCGCGGCTGGTTCTGATCTCTCGTGCATATCGAATTCGCAGACACCTCCCGCGTCGCGCGTACTACATTGTATTCCCGTGCACTCCGGAGGGTAAATTTTCCACGGGTTTTACAAGCGCACCCGCGCGAACGATTCAGATCTCCGGGCGTGTGGACGATTGCAGGAGAGGATTGCTTCGCTGAACTCTTCCGAAATTCTCTCCCGCGCAACGTCACGATGTCGAATACTTCCCCGCCGCGCTGAATTGTGAGGCCAATTATCTCACGCGAATTATCGTGGCAACGGCTAATTAACCAGCGCTAACCCGACGATTATCGGCGCGGGTCCGAATTATGCATGATGAAAGCAACGATTACAAAGGCAACGGCGGTGCGATCGTGGCGGGTGGGGTGAAATTTTGGATAATTGTTTGCTGCTTAAGCGAATCGGAGCTCTCGCTCGAGTTTCGCGATACGGAAAGTATGCGATGGAAAATTGCGAGCTGACTCTCGCGCACGGTGTATTCCCGTACTTCGTACTTTGGTAAGGCTAAAATATATAGTTCGTAAGTTACGCTATGAAAGAGGACGAGATTATGCATACGATTTAATATTCATCTTGAGCTGCGCATTCTGACGCTCGCTGCACCGATTCAACTTTATTTTACTTGGACTTTAACACAATAAACACTTTGTACTTGACACAAATTACTGTGGAAACTTTCTCTTCGTAAATCGTCTCTCTTCTGCGGACGGTCCATTTTGTTCCGTCCAATTGCTCGTTTAACCATCGCATGAACCACCCACCGTGCGAAACCCGAAACTCCCCGTCTCATCGCGCTTCCGCCTCGTAGTTTAAAGTTTCTTCTTCGTGATTTCTTGGGTAAAATCTCTCGCGTAAAAAATATGGAAACAGTAGCATGAAGTATGAAGCAACTGTCCCATCTGTAACTTCGTTACAACAGCCGGGACAGCTCGTTTCGTACCGCGTATTATTAGACCGGATTGATCGTTGGTCATTGTCGGGGGATGCGAGTCGTACCGCTCGATATTCACTCGTGGTATTCGTAGCGAGCGTACGCTCGCTGAACACAAGGAGCTGCGACCGGGCAGGACTGGCATGGAGCGGACGTGAACACGTGCCTTCATGTAACGCTCGTAACGCTCGTTATCGTTAAAGGGTAAGGTCGTCACGAGCATGGCTGGTGGCTTGCGAACGTGGTTCGCAACTCGTGAGCTAAGCATGACCAATGAGAACTACACAGACAACGAAACTGTCTGCGAGACATTAATGTAAGTTTGCTTCTCGGCGACGTCATTTTCCAAAACTCAGCGTTCATGGGTGAGACATAAACTGACTGCTCAATTAATAGTAAAATAGAATCAAATTGAAACTCGAGATACGCACTCGAAAGTGTGCATATTCGAGCACGTCAATGTGTCAACTTTTGATTACGACAAATTACCTCTTAGATTAAGATTACGTAGATCAAGATTATGCATATTTAAGACTACATATTGTAATATGTACGTGTATATGCAGCCGCGATAAGATCCAGCCATAACTTTATTTTTCTGCGCAAGCGGGACCTCGGCATGAATTTTGGATGAAAAGCCAAGCGCAAAGAAGATATCCGTCGACATAAATTTAAGCGTTGGCGCGTCTAGCGCGAGCAATTTATACAGGATTTGCGCAAAGCCGAGTATAAAACACGATTTACGATATCTATTACGCGGGTCGTCACGCGGGTGTTTAATCTCGGATTTGCATGTCTCCGTTTCCGTCGATTTTTTGCAACAAATCACTATCGAAAAATGATACATCCCGCCGTGTTTTATTCGCGCGGCGAGCGCACTTCCCGGGCGAATATCGAGCGACGGCGCTTTAAACGTGCGGCCTTAGCCTTATGGGAAAATCGTGGCCCGAGAGCTGCGAGAGAGCATCACGGCCGGGATAGCCGGCGACGCGACTACGTAATCTCGCGTTTCATCATCGCGCCGCGGTGGCTGCATTGTGAGAATGCACCGAACCCCCACAAATTCCGAAAGGTCACCCACTTGTAATCGGCCGCCCACCGTTGCGAGCGAGCGGAATAAGAAATGGGTCATGCAACAGGCCGCCGTCGCCGCCGAGGGTTGCATCTTGTTTTCACGACGAACGCGCATTGTCACGCCGCTGGATGTTAATTGCCGTGCGTCGACGATGGTGGGCGATAATCGATCGCGAATTAACGTGACATGCTCGTGGCGCGTTCACGTCGCGCCGTGCGCTCACAGCCGGTAAGCTGATGCACGTTCATGTAGTCGTGGGAAAGTACCGTTTCAACTCGCCACTCAACTTGAGTCACTAAAGTTCGTGCGACGACGCGGCGGTATTATGCGATAGATACCACCGTGAAGAATTGCAAGAGTGATGTCTCGTCGCTGCGATAGGAGCATCGCGCGACGCGCAAAATTACGTAGCACGGGAGTTCCCATTTCTTTCCCGTGCAGGTGGAATTTAAACCGCATACGTGTTAGACATCTGTATGTGAAAGAAAAGGTACGGAGAGCGTCTGGAATATCAACGCAGGTAAGATGTTTTGAATTAGCAGCAACATGATTCTCTCGTGCATCAAGTGAAACAGTATTTTATTGGCTCAGAAGCTTACGTCTTACTTTGTATTTTTATAATTTTTACGTAACTTATATGCGCTGTATGTGTGTGTATGTGTTTCCAAATATATAACATAACTAAGTAACATCAAACATGATGATGAAATAGATATCACATGTACAAAGAGCAACGAAATTAAATGCTATTTCGCTAGAGTGTAAAATGGAACATATAATAGATAACTACGTCCACGTAACAATAAATGAGGTAGATTGGTTTTTATATAATACGGCTGAAATACCACCGACTCTGTGCTTCGTTTTAATCCACATAGTTGTGGATCTTACACAGTTAAGTACTGTGATGTACTTTCCATTCGATAAATGATGTTAAATGTGTATCTGAACTTTTATAAGAAGTCAAATAAGAAAGTAAAATGTAGCTTTCACACAGCACACACATGCTTCTAAAAGTAGCTTTCACAGATCCTGTAGAATTTACTTTTCAAATATCGCTCAAATAATCAAATAATCTTTCCACGAAAGCAATCATGATCTAATTAGAAAATTTGTCAATATTAATTCTAGCAAAAGACCAATTATCTTCAACGTGGAGCGCTACTACATGCTTTATGTCCTCTTTACCATACATCGCAACAAATGCATATACATGTATATATAAAGAATGTATTTGTTCCAAGCACGCTAAGGAGAAAGCCCCTAGGAAAAGCGATTCTGAGTGCTGCGATGGAATCTAATCGAGACAGAATTTAGAGCAGCCACAAATTTACATGCAATAATAAACTTATTATCAAGTGTCACGAATCCGGAGCCATTGTACGTCAAGTTCGAAGCTATCGAGCAAAGTAAGCGAACTAGTTGGTGCAATTTGCGCGCAGTTAGACAGGCCGTCATGTTGCATCGATTATATGTCGGGCGGTTCTGACAAAATGTCGTGATATTATCCGCGCTTTCTGCCAGGCGCATTTATAAAAGTCCCGAAGACGACGTGCCCCGCGTGTGAATTCGTCTTTGTTGTCGCTATAAATCACTGGTCTTGTCGCGGGGTGAGAGTTACGACCGAGACCGATCGTCGGCTACCGGATAACCGGTGGCATTCCTGAAGATCGAACCGGGGAGGACATAAAGCAAGAAGGCCGGATTGTTTTCTCCCGGCCAACTTATTCCCTTTCTTTCTCCCCTTCCGCTCTATACGTATGACTATGCGAAAACGGCGCGAGGCGTGGCCGATAATGAGACAAATAGGGTGTGTAACGGATCGTTAATGTCAGGCGTGGAGACGTAGAGCAGTCTCGCGTGGATCGCGCAAGGTCGATCGACGGATCCTTCGGCGGCCGTGAGTTTCGGGACGCAGATCCGCGAGCAGCGCACTTCTTTTCAGATGCCTACGAAGTATCAAAAAGAATGCATTAACTTCTGGTGGAGAACGGCGCGGCGTGTCGATTGTTGTTGCATGAAAACAATTGCAATAGACTCGTTAATCGGTATGTGTGAGTTTTGATCCTCGTAGTTTATCGCGAGATTAACGAACTTGCATGGAGTGTAGTTTCCGCATTCGGCGTAAAATCAAGCTGGAATATGAAATATCTCAACAGCGATTAATACCGCCCCCCCCCCTCCCCCTCCTCCCCTTTGAAGAAATATTCCACCAAACTATCGAAGCATCAACGAACGAAACATTAATGTGCATTGAAGCGGCAAGTTAGTACGAGCACATCGCCTCTTGATAAAAATCTGCAGGAACGTGGAACATTTATCTTCTTTCTTTTTCTCTTTTTTTCTTTTTAATATCGCGTATTCATGTCGAACATCTACCGTATGCGGCACCTTCCCACAGCAGTCTGTATACTCGGTGTGCAAATACTACTCACCTGAATTGTAAACACTTGGCACCGAATGGTCGTGCAGAAGTTCCCTTGCTCGGGAGCTTCCGATCGGAAGCATCGCGGGTTCCATCGCAGTAGCCGAGGATCGAAATCGATCCTCCTCCGCGGATCGTGTCTTCGCCTTCTTTTCAATGAAGCCACGCGCCCTCCGGTTGACCGGCGCGGAGAATATCTCCGTCGACATCGGTGGGTGCTGCGATTCGCAGCAGCGACTTTCCGTCAGCCATCACCGAGGAACATTGCCGTGCAAGCTGATGCTAAGTGAGCTTTTATAGCCGGTATATAACGGGCACGTGGGACGACGAACTTGCGACGGGATAAGGGTGGGGCCCCTCCGCCACTCCGCCGGACCCGTGTGACGAGGTTAAAAAGGAAAGCTCGATCAATCGAAGATTGAAAACGCACACTTATGGCGATGCAGCCTCGAACCGAATCGAAAACACCAACCGCACCCAAACGGGTAGGGGTGAGCGATTCAAGGAGTTGACTTTATCACCTCTGTCTGTGCGTTGTTTATTGGCGATCCGTAGCGACTGGGGAGTAGAAGGGCGGAGAAATACTTGAACAACGCTGTAAATCAACGCTATAATAAACTACGGAGTATTTACCGTCACGGCGAAAGACGGCATTCTCGATGGTTGTGCAGATAAATCGACGAAGAACAGTTATAACGTTGTGATAACGTTAAATAACGATTATTGATGCCGAGCCGATGAGCCGATAACGCATGAGAAGCACGCACGTTTGTGTGTCTTATCACGGACAGAATCCCCTGGAGTAACATTATCGCGAGAAAGAAAGAAGATACAACGATTCAAACGTGAGAGAAGTGATATATCGCGATGTACAGTATAATTTGATTACACGACCGATCAATCTGAGTCCGTTGCACTTTGAAAATCTTCCCAATGAGCGATAGTCATTGCACTCTACAATACTTGAAGCAGAGCTCGCTCGACAGTGCTCGATGATTGATGATGTAGAAAGCTAAATTTACCAGCGACACCGGCGATAACTTTGATGAAAACGTAACATTACAGCCGATGGCATGGCAGAACCATTAGCCGAACGGTAATCGATTAATTCGTATGATGTGTGCTATAAACGACTTCAATAATACCTTTGTGTAACGTTCCTGGCTTTGTAATTGTAAACTGGTTAGGGGACGTACAGTCGGGCATAGCCTAAAAACTTAATCGGCCGCTTGTATTTCCGATATGCTTTGACGAATATGCAGACAATCGTATACACATCATAACCACACATCAATAACTCATTACGTACGCAATGGTAACGATTCGTTTGCAAATTGCCAATACAACAGCAATACGACGCGAGAGTCGTACGAGAAATGGCAATTTAATAAATAAATGTATGATATTGTGATACAGCAAAGGTAACACGGTGCGAACACGGTGATATTATGTATTGAGAACACACACATTTTTATTTTAAGTGTTAATAGTCTGTAAAGAAGCACAGGTACTACAGTGCGTACTTATAACTACTACGAGACGTTGAGCGCTGATTTATAATCTTTGTCAAAGGCAAAAGTCATTGAACGAACGTCGCGATGAAATGCGACAGTTTTATTTTAAAAAACAGACGGACGTATAGACGCGTTTCTCCGCATCGAATCTATCGACAGTTGACGAGAGTCAAAGTAACGTAGAGACTGCTGGAACTTTGTTGTAAATCCCGCGGTTGCGGGCGACGTAAGAGAAAGAAATTTGAGCACCGCTGACCCGTATCGTAACTATATGGTGCACAATACATATTTTCTCCTCGAGTGAAAAGGAAGAAATCGGAATGAAAGGAACATAACGAAATATCCAAGTTGATAACGACGTTTACTGTTCTTTCTTTTTTTTTTCTATACGAACATATCGGATGCAGTTTTTCGACTTCGTTGAATGGGGCAGGATGACGAGGGAAAAAGCGTCGGAAAAGTTGTTGCGCCGCTCAATCAATAGTCACCTTTGCGTCCGAGGCTGTGCATGACGCCCGGTAATGGCACTGCAAACAATCCCTGGCGCTGCATGCGATCTGTTGCGAACTTGCTGATACTGTCGCACCGAACACACATACACATACCCAGCATATCCGACAACAATGGGCCTCTCATTCCTGGCGACAATCTGCGAGGTCCGGATGACGCGTGGGCAATGCAACCCGTGCCTCGCCTAAACGGATGCACAATGCGACGCGTAATCGTTCTAATGGCGGCACGTGCCTACCTGAGTCGAGAGAAAGCAGGAAGAAGACACACATACGACACATGGATCGTCTCCATTTCCAAGGTCGTTGATGACTCGATGCTTGTGATGAGTAGCCGTGATCTTATCCTTTGAGCTTCGCGAGGAGGCGTTACGTAACGCGTAACGACGTTACACATTCAACGCGATTGAACGCACCATGATTAATGATCATCGCGATCGTTTCTTTCGTATAAAACAGACCGCGCCAAGAGGTAACAGACGTATGAAACGTATGAACGAGGTTAAATAATAAATACTTTGAAGAGCAGACTATGAGATGAACGCATCGCGTCGTTGGGTGAAAATAATATCCCCTCGAAATTACCAAGTCGCTCTTTTTCTAAGCGCTAGTCTGACATCGATCAGGTATCCAGCACGTGAATCGTAGTTGCTTCTACGCCTAGGCGAACTTTAACTTAAATAAATATTATTTCAAGATAACTATCTGCTCGCAGTTGCGCTCGCTGCCGTCGGTACCAACAGATCAAGGCGACGAGTGCAAGACGCAAGACATAGACAGATGCGTTGAAGTGGAGCACCGCATGTTGGGGCCCGACAGGACGAGGTGGGGCGTTAAGGGGCATTCTGATGTCACTTACATGGTGACTGACTTAATGTCAATAAGTCGGCAAATGCCCAGCCCGTAGAGAATGTTTGGCGTGTCCTGTGCCCCGCCCTTGGGGTTGGCGGGAGCAACTGAGTTCTAAGCCCGATCGGGGAGACAATGTTCCTATAAAAGCGTGTCAGACGCCAGTCGGTGGCAACACTTCCACCTCAGCCATCGAGGCAAATTTTCCCGATATCGTTCCAGCAACCGGCGGACCGTCCTCTTCATCATGTGCATCCTGGTCGCGATTCTCCTCGTGGCGGGTCTGTCAGTGGCAACCGCGGCACCGTCCGGATACCTGAGCCATGGTGCCGCGTTGGCCGGTCCTATTCTGGGACCAGCAACTCTCACCGGACCTGCTAATGGTCCATCAGCTCTCGCCGGACCGGTAGTTGGGCCCGCGCGTCTCTCCGGAGCTGTCGATGGCGGTGCTGTTGTCACCGGTGCGGTTGCTGGACCGTCGGTTGTTTCCGGTAGCGTCGCTGGACACACGGCGGTGGTTGGTCCTGCTCTCGGCTACGCAGCGCCAGGATTGGGATGGCCGGCTTATGGTAAGCTCGAATAAACTATAAATGTAATTACGTACGATACATACGATACAATAACTCGAATGGCTCGTTTAAAGAGATCATCGGATTTCGGGAATATGAAGAGAAAATCCTCATTCTACGATAATATATATGTGCAACATGCCACCATAATTCTAAAGTATTCTTTATATCATATTATAGAGCGTAAAAGAATGAATATACTTTTAAAAAAATTACGATATATGCATCGGACATGTATAGGCGCGCTGATACAGTGAGCAAACGGCCTTATCGGTGCGCGAACATGATCTTAGTAATAGCCGATAAATCGTGATATATACTCCAGCTCGTCATAACTTTCGTTAGCGATCGGACGTTACGGCGTTACCATGTAATGTACTACGGTGCTCGTTAGCTCAGTAGCAATATATATTTTATTATCCACTTTGAACTTTTAGTCCCACAGAAGCTACGGCACCGTATTTGCCTGATTTCTCTTCTGACAGGCTCAAACCTTTCGATTGTGCAATACACTTCACAATTTATCGACCGCATTAGAGAGACGCGTGTACCTATAAGACATACATTTTAGGTCCATACGGAGCAGTGCTGGCGGGTCCTCTTGCGGGTCCTGCGGCTGTCGCCGGACCGGTTGCAGCTCCAGCCCTGATCGCAGGTCCATCCGGTAGCATCGCTGCTGGACACGGCGGATTAGGCGGTATTGTTCGTGGATACGCAGCTGGACACTGGTAATTGGTTTCATTCGGCAATGTGACTTAATGACCTCCGCGACTGATCTCTTCGACACCCACCATCTCGGCTACTGCATCGTGAACTTCGTCATTCGGCGTATCTCCAGTCAATGCATCTCTTCTACACATTCTATATAAGTGTACATAACAATGTTTCCCCGTATGCAGTGTTATACATAAATATAATAAATGCGCACACATGGCACTTCTGGAACAAAATAATCGCTTTATTATTTCCCTCCAGCGTAGCAGGAGCATAGCCGAAACTATAACTTCTAACAAAAGTACATGATCCCGAGAGTTGGGAAAAGAAATTTACCCGCATATCACAGTGCCGCCTCTCTCAATTTCTCTTAAATTCTCCACGTCACGTCCGTGACCGACAGAAAAAGTCAAGCGCGGGCAGAGGTTGAAGAACGATACGAATCGATATCGTCGATAACTCTAACATGTGTTTCACTCGGTTTTTCTCTTTATCGTTCTCAGGTGTATCGTTACAAGGTGAACGTTCATTTGCTTCATGCAAACTACAACTTGTGATAAAAGAAACTTTAAAAATTTTTCTTTATAAAAAAATTAAAGTCACCTTGCATTTTTTAAATGGCGTTATGCAATTTTTCTTACATAATATTACAGAAGACTTTAAGACGAATTCAATGCACCACCAGAAATGTCACTTCTTTATTGATAACAATATAAAAAACAATAGAATGAATATAGTCGTTATATTTATTCAACATATTTTCAAATACAGCTTTCAGAAAGCTTTCGATATATCAACACAACAAATTCCGATCGTCACATTGTGATCAAGGAATAAATGGAGGACTTTTTAAAATTGACTTCACTTTTATATTTTGGGCAAGTGTTTAACGCACTTTAATGCTAACATTTTTTTTCCGTCCACGTTAATGAAAGCTACTCGTAAGCAGAGTCCGTAATGAGGAGAATAGCTTATGAGAAAATCGGCGAGATTGCAGCTGGCAATCCGGAAGTCGCGGAAAATCCGTGAAAGTGAATTAAAAAAGTCACCGTGGAGATGCACCGTGGAGTCATGATGAAGTTGTCGGTAAGCGGACAAACTTTATCGTACTTCATCAACCGAGCGGTCGAAGGGGAGAGCTTGTTATGTCGAAAGTATCCGTCGCCGCGTGCTTGATGAGAAAAGTTTAATCTACTAGTTCAGTAATGCACTTTTGTGTCACTCGCGTGAAATATGAATCGAGCGGCATCGAGCTGTTCCCGAATTACCGCTGTAGGTCACTTCGACGTGCTAAGAATGCATATTGCATTTTAATAGTACCACGAGCGATGCTTCACAAATCTCGACCTTTCCAGTATTCTAACACTCATCTTTGTTTGAAAACAAAGTTTGATTCCGAAATCATCCGCACGTGTACAAATGCTCGACGTTTGAAGACTCAAATTTGTTAATGGACCGCCTACGGAGCGTGCGGCATGCAAAAGTGTATTACACCCGACGCATAAATTATATAAATTTTACATTCTGTAATTCTATCAACGGTACATACGTGGTAATGGTATTACCATTTCCCGTAACAAATCGTTTTTTCCGTTTTCAGAAAAGAGGCGTAGCGCGATTGCGCTACGTGGAGTCGCACGACAACGCCAACCGTCGAGCCAACCTATCTATGCGCCGCACGTCCGCAACGAACCGAGTTATGCAAATTCGCGTACGCGCAACTCTGTATCCGTTCTCATTGGCCGGAACGGATGCGTCGTTGATATTGTTCTCAAATCACTCGACGTGCTGACGCGGACCACAAGGATGAATGCGCGGCGGTAGCTGACGATGATACGCCAAATTCGATACGATTATGCTCTAAATGATACGGTCCGATTGGGGATACGTTGATTTACTATGCATTCAGCAATACGTCTGCATTATTCGCGTCATCTCCTACGGACAATCCGTCACGTTATAGCGTTCGTCTTTATACGTTTGATTCTTCGATCCCGAGTGACTTCGCAGTCAAATTATCCGTCACATTCTGTATTTCTCATCATCTGGACCTTTTCCTCCAGAAAACCGTTTATATGCATGTTTGCGATTGATATCCCTCTACGGTCCTTACTTGCAAAATATGAATTGAGCGCTTCTATTATTTGTTACGATTACTAGCAGCGATCATTCCATTGACTTGCGACAATATGATCCAGCAGTTTCGATTAATGTTGTACCCAAGTGTAAAATACCGACGCGGACAGGAGAGTATGCAGTTTCCCGTAGTAAGCGACATACATTGAATTTCTACGATACGTGCTCCAGCGATTGTGACTCGACTATCTGTGGACAGAGAACTGTCGTCGGTCCAGCGAACATCGTAGGTAATAGCAGTGGCGCAACTGTTACGTTTCAATCAGCTTTCCTATTGCATATGTATTCATGATCGCCAACATCGGAAGACTTATCTAAACTGCTTTGCCTTTCCACACGTCGATATTTGCGGTGCTCATCGAGAGAAAGACATGGTTGCGTTATTACTTTGGTAATCGCCGGGAGGTTCTCTCGCAACTCACGACGGAAAGTACGATTAACAAGAACGTGGAAAAACGATCGATATAGAAATCGCGCGCTCTCGGGGAGGCTAATACAATTGAAGACTCGATAAATGACTACTATAAGTGACGCTGACGGCTAAATCACGATGCGACCGAATAGAAACTTTAAACATTCCGTAATGCTCTTCGATCGTTAATTCACCGCATCGTGAGAAACATACTGATAATGGAAGTTGCTGAGACTGAAATTGCGCATAGCATATTGTTTGCAGTTGTCGCAGCAACCAATACATAGCGCCGCTGTTTAGATGGTCGCGTCGCCGGAGCTACAATAGTTTCCGGATCACTTCGAGATGTCTTATCGATCGCCAACACATTTTTGGCGATTGCACGTCGCTCGTAATGTATGACTACGACAAAACGTAACGCAGTGAAACGACATGTCGCCGTACAGAAATTTCCGGGAACTACAAATACAGAGAAACCCACGCGCATGCATGCGATACATTTAATAGAGAAAGATATTATCTTCTCCTGCGAAGTCAAACTTCTTACACACGATCAGGATATTCTTTGCCAAAGAACGATTGAGGAAAGAGGTATCTTCGAATCTTTCTACCTCTGCTATTACAGCGTCTTACTGTTATCGTAAAAATAAAACGAGATTGCCGAGATTATAAAAACAAAAATGATGGCGAAAGAGCAAAGTCTATACTCGTTGACAACGCGAAGCAAGTGATCGCGGAACGCACGAATCAGGAAGCAAATGCTCGCGCAAGGACGTTAAGACAGCAAAGCGCGACTCGTTGGCATTGGTGACCGTTAACTACTTTCTCAACTATTATTACTGTCGCGGAGTGCGTGAGATTTATCGCTGTTTCCATGTACACCTAACAAACTCGCGCGATACTGGGCTGATTAGAATTTACAACGTCTCGATAACTGTATAATCATTTTCATTACCGTGTATAACAATGTAATAAAAATTTACCACAAAGCTAGTTTTCAATTGCGTTTCTCGCTCTGAGACGCATAAAGTTTGAAAAACAAAGTCAACATTACGGCATACTACGTAACGTACCGCCTGTGTCTGCAGTGAAATTTCACAAACTACATATCGCTCTGTGCGAATTTTTTCTCCGTGACGACTCTTTCGTAGAAAGGATGCGCCGTGGTGCTTCATTTGATGTTGCCTTAGTTTAAGTTTATATTCGCCGGACGCACTCAAGATTGTTTGTCTCTTTTACATTTGAACTTCTTCCAACCGCTATAAATAGAAACTGCATGCCAAGCAACACACTTGCAATATTTTACTCTTCACTACGACGTAGAATTTTATTTTCAACGTGTAAGGAGTACGAATCAAAGATATTTCAAAACAACACGCACTTGTAAATTGAAATTACATATCGCGTGAATTTCAATTTAACTCGACATAATATATCGCCTGAAACTGATGATGAAAACGTTGCTCGGATTAAATGTTAAACTGATAAGCAATTAAAGTGTTTTATAATTTCGGGAACGAATTTAAATGTGTGTGTACATTATATGTATTGTGCGTACTGAGTGCATAGAAAAGAGTATATGTAAGTATGCATATGTATATCGCAGATTACAAAGAAGTCTCAGCTTTTCTCAAAAAGGTTTGACATTAACACAGTTTGACTTCTTTCATCGACAAATCATAAAATGTATGTTAAGATAGCTTTATATTAAATATTCTGCTAAAGGTTCTAAGTTAAATAATTACAGGATATGTGTGTATATATATATATATATATATATATATATATATATATATATATACACACATATCCGGATAGATATATATATGATAGACGGTAATTTATAATAATTCATTAAAACATTTATTCTTGCTCTCGCGCAGAGAATAAAAGACCTCGTCATCGGGTTGTAATAGTCTTCGTTTTGTCCAGTCCGAAATATCAATTGTTGAGAATAACGGCGCGGTGCTTTTGAGAAGCTTAAAGAATAATATCATTCTTGCAGGATCTATTGCTTCTGCAGCTGCTAAAGATAAACCTCTTTCGCCATTTGTAATTAGTTCCGCTTCAAATTCTGTTGCCATAATTAGTCTCTTTGCAGATATTACAGTTATAATCGAGTAGTAGTCTGAGGGATTAGCGCAGACGACTTGACTACAGTTTATTGATTGTCATCCACGCAGGATAGTTCCCGATATCTCCAAATAATAATGCGGCATATCATGTCTTGCAGGATGCAAACATAAGGCATATTTGATAAGAGTTAAAATAGAAAATAAATACCAATTACTCTGTTATATCTTCAAGCGTTATGTCTGAGGCTGCAGAAGCGATAGTCCAAATGTTGAACAAATTGAGGAAGAATTCCGATAAACAATACTTCTTACGTTCATATGCGTGCGCGCGCGCGCGCGGTGCAATGTGGCGAATGCCTTTGTGGATCTCATCGGACCGATTACAGTCTCAGTCCTAATCGCAGACCCATCCGGCATCGCTATTGGACATGGTGAATTAGGTATTATTGTTCGTGGATATGCGTGTGGACACTGATAATTGACTTCCGCGATTGGTCTCTTCGGCACGTACAATCTCGAACACCGTATCAAGATCTTTGACATTTCTCGTATCTCCTGTCGTGGTATTTCCCACATGGTCTTTGTACGTGTATATAACAACGTTTT